TTCTTCAGGCTGAATAATTGCTATTTCATTTGCTGAAATACTGTTAGTGTCTGTAGATTTATGGATATCATCTAATAAAATGACCGGAATTTCTTCATCTATATACAATGTTTCTTGAACATAATCATTTGTCGCGTTTCGATTCTGGTTCGTAGCTATCAGTTCGATTCTTTGTTCTTCGTTGCTGTTAAAAGTATCTTTTCTAGGCTTATCACAACCAACATTACCTATAGAATTGGAATAAAGATGCAAAAAATAAGTTAATTTCTAAAACATATAATAAATTATAATAAAAAACATGAGATTCTGCAGTTATTTATAAATACTATATTTATATTTGTAAATTATAGTATTACAGTATTTTCACTTTATCAAATGTGTCATCGGTTTTACCCTTAATCTTCAGCCAGTGTTGAAAAAGACCTTCATTTTTAATTTCACCATTCCAAACTCCTATCTCCGCCGCTTTAAATGTTTGGAGCATTTCTTCTGACAATTGACGTTCAAAAAAGCTAATAAACTGTTTTAGCGAATCTGTTTGATTAGGTTCAGTATTGATTAGGTTCTTGGATTTCTTTTGTTTGTTTAAAATATTAAAATCCACAGCATTAGGTGTAAAAGGATAGAGTCCACACGTTTGAAATCCATTTTTAGCCATAGAAGTAAGATCTATTGAATCAAGAGTCTTTTTGAACAGTGGGGCAAACATGTCTTTTTTGAGGCGTTCTCCATTATTTTCTAATCTCCAATTATTGACAGTCTTCTTCCAAACCATTTTTAAAGGATGGAAAACCGCTACATCTAATGGCTGTAAAATGTGCGTGGCGTTTGGATATAGAGCTATTAACTCTATTTCATGCTGTCGACAAAAATTACTCAAAGGCAATGTCAAGTGTGAGGAATGTCCATCCATGAATAATACGACGGGAAATACAATATTATTGGTTTTCAGCCACAGGTAAAATACGTTAGTAATATATTCATAAAATGACTCAGCAGTCATCCATCCTCTGTCTGAAGTTCCAATACTCCATCCTTTGGGAATATTCTGTGTTATAGTTGCTGGTATTCTTTTATAAGCGTACATTATCATCGGAGGTGCCATAACTCCGGAAGCGCTAATCATTACTAATGTTGTCAGTGCCTCTTTTTCGTCAGCATTTACAATTTTGTATACTGATTTAGAACCTTTTTTAACAATAACTTGCTCTGCTTTCGGACACAATAAAAAGGAGCTTTCATCACAATTAAAATACCGTGAAGCATCAATAGAGAGCAATTCTTTCTTTAACAAGTATTGACGAACTTCATGAAACCACTTTCTCAAACAATCTTCATTAACTGATGCTCTGATAATCGTTAAATTCTGTGTGTTGGAGAAGATGAGAGTCAGCGAGTTACTGCTTGTCGATAATTCGCTTATCGAGTCGGTCGCGAACCGATCCGTGTAGACAAACACGAACGCGTGCGGCGCTGACCCGCTTCCTGTGTTCTTGATACGCGCGCTTTTCCAGTGCCCCTTTTGATTTTAAGGTTCTGTTCTGTTTGTGTTGTTGTTTAGCGTTGTCAAGGAAGATCAAGTCAGGATCTTCTATGTATTACTGAATCAATTTTAAGATATTTTGTGTAATTCCTATTGCATTTCACTCATTAAACCGGTATTAGTCCTGTTACACGGCTTTTAAGGGGCTTTGAGCCCAATTGAGGCTTTTAGCTTATTTTCAAAAGTCGCATTCAATTCTTGTTTAATCAGGAGCTCTAGAAGCGAGTGAAAATTGTGAAGATTGCTTATATAACGGCTTGCAGTCCGTGCATTATTGCCTATATAACGGTGAGTAGTCCGTCTAGGCTTCATATTCTCAACGGCTAGCAGTCCGTGCATTGAGATAACTTGTGTTTTTCCTAATTTCCCACTTCGACGTTAGATTTCCGTATCAGGATTATTCCGAATGGATGACTTTTAACAAATCTTCTCGGTGGATGACACAAGCTTCAAGGATTAAGAAAGTCAATGGAAATGAAAGGAAAGCGTCTTGTATACAAGGTTCAAAAATTCGTTACTTATGAACTTCTAATCTTTCTTTATGTTGCTATTAATGTTATACAGTCTAAAAACTAATCAGACATATTTTTGTCATTGCGTTAAACTAACTCATTAATTTTTTAATATTTTCATTTCAGTGCAACCCGTGATTTATTCTGTCGAAGAATTAAAATACACTAATTAGCTATCGAACAAAGGGAAAATGAATGAATACCTCAATCAAAGTTATTTCCTCTATTTTTTACTTTATTACTAATTAAGAATACTTTATTAATAATACTTTGATTAAGGTATTTCCCTTCGAAACAAGTCAATTTTGGAGACGAAAAACGGCAGGAATTAAGTTTAACATCTAATACAATTCCTAATACCTACAATGTTGCAGCAATATTACAGTGCAATCTGCAATATTGCAACGTTTCTGCAATGTTACTGCAAGTTTCATATACCTATGTATTTTATTATACATATTTATACATATTTATACATATATATACAGGGTGTTTTCAAATTCGCGCCCATAAAGTACAAGACGCGATACTTTATGTTAAAACAAATAACTATTTCCTTTTGCAAAGTTGCATCTGACAAGTAGTTTTTGCAAGACAGCAGGTTGAAATTATAAGAGTAAATGGAAAAAATTATTTACTGAATGTAATTTTACTACAGGAAAAAGTTGTTCGTTTTAGCATAAAAAACAACTTTTCCCTTTAACAAAATTGCGTCCGGTAAGTAGTTTTTGCAGGAGAGCAGGTTGAAGTTAACAAATAAACACAAAAATTATTATTGGACGCAATTTTGTTAAAGAAAAAAGTTGTTTGTTTTAACATAAAGTTTCACGTCTTGTACTTCGTGGGCGCGAATTTGAAAACATCTTGTATAAATGTTAAAAGCTTAGTAGCATGCGCGAAGCGCGCGCCTGTTATGTCTAGTGTATAAAAATTAAAGATAGTATTATTTGGATTAAGTAAATAAAGAAATGGGATTTAACTTGGCGTCAGTTCTTGATATATCAAATCTTTTATAGAAATGATACATATATCATTAAAGTTAATATTATTTATTTTATTTGGCATCCGAATTATTAATACATGGAGTTTAACTTGGCGCCAATTGTTGATATCAAATCTTTTTTCGATCGATACATAAAATTTTGAGGAATTTAAGGAGGTTGTAAGGCAAATGCAATATGTTAAGAACTACTTGAAAAAATTACAGACTATTCTAAATTTCATTTAATAATAATACAAAAAAAATAGAAACAATTGACCATCTGGATCAAAAGTTATT